ATAGAATAGAATAGAATAGAATAGAATAGAATAGAATAGAATAGAATAGAAAGGAACCTTGGAGGTCTTCTAGTCCAGCCCGCCTGCTCAAGCATGAGAACCTATACCATTTCAAATAGGTGGCTGTCCAGACTTTTCTAAAACCTTCCAGTGACGGAGCCCCCACAACTTCTGAAGGCAACTTCTGTTCCACTGGTTAATTGTCCTCACTGTTAGAAAGTTTCTCCTCAATTCCAGGTTGCCTCTCTCCTTGGTTAGTTTCCAACCATTATTTTTTGCCCTGCCTTCTGGTGCTTTGGGGAATAATTTGATCCCCTCTTCTTTCTGTCAGCCCCTCAAATACTGGAACACTGCTGTCCTGTCATCCCTAATTCTTCCATTCTTTAGCCAAACCAAAATCCTGCAGCCATTCTTCATATGTTTTAGTCTCCAGGCCTTTGATCATCTTAGTTGCTCTTTTCTGAACTTTTTCCCAAAAGAAGTTGCTGAATTCTGGGAGTTGAAGTCCACACATCTTAATGTTGCCAAGTTTGGAGACTCCTGGTTTAGAGGTTTCCCATGGCGTTTGGTTTTTAAACCATTGTTAGAGGAAAGTTTCGTTTAAGATGTACATCTTGGGATTCTTGACAAACCAATTTTTAAAAGGAAAAATAGAACAGCTGCATAGTTGATCCAACTGCAGAGCAATTTCTTTTTTTCTTTTAATATTTTTATTGAGTATACACATTAAAAACATTGATCATGGTGGTCTTCTTTGACATACATTTCTGTCATTACATACTGTATTTAGAAAACAAAAAAGTTATATACATTTGTATGCATATATACATTTAAACTTTATAGTTTTTAGTTCTATTTCAGTATTCCTCAAATATGAGGTCCCTCACATCTTCCCTATTTCACCTTTAATTCTTATTTCCATTTTGTGAACTTCCTTTCATGTCCTCCAGTGATAAAATTTATTCCGTATTTTATGGTGTTCTGACTCATCTTGATCAACTAATAATTAATATTAAATTAACAATATTCCATTAAATTAAATTTAAACATTAATTTGTTTGGAATGTAGCTTTATGGAAAAACAAGTTCTCGGAAGTTGAAAGGCCACATTCTTAATCTGGGGTGTATCTTCCCTAAGTGCCGTCAATATTTAAAGCAGAAACCTCGACTCTTGTTTGTGTCTCATTTATCAGTACTCTATGCATTCTTTTGTTGAATGTGTAGACTGCCAGTCAATGCAAAATGTAATTATTGATTGGACGAAGCTGAAAGGCATAGGTTTTTTGCCTATTGGCTTGAATTCATTCCTGCTCTCACAGGAATCTATGGTAAACTTTTGTTATCTATAGAGGAAGAATGGATAACTTGGAGTCAATCTTTCCTTACTAATGAGAGTAATTGGTGAGATTTATGTACAGATAGTCCTCGACTTATGACCACAATAGAGCCCAGAATTTATGTAGCTAAGTGAGAACTAAGTTTGTCCCATTTTACAACTTTCCTTGCCATATTTGCTAAGCGAATCACTGCATTTGTTCAATTAGTAACACGGTTGTTTAAGTCAACCTGGCTTTGTTTTGCATTATTGAGCCCAAAAGGGGGATACAGGTACTCCTCAACTTACAACCACAATGGAGCCCAACATTTCTGTTTGTTAAGTGAGACATTTGTTAAGTGAGTTTTTGCCCCCTTCTACCGACCTTTCTTTGCCCCGGTTGTTAAGCGAAATCACTGCTGTTGATAAATTAGTAACATGGTTGTTAAGTGAACTTGGCTACCTCCTTGATTTTGCCTGTTGGGAGGTCGTGAAAGGGGATCGCACGTGCTTTGGGACACAGCAACAGTCATAAATATGAAACAGTGGCCAAGCATTCGAAATTTGATCACACGATCATGGAGGTGCTGCAAAGGTCTTAACTGTGACAAAAGGTTACTTTTTTCATCGCTGATGTAACTGTTGTAAATCAAGGACTACTGGTAGCATGATGACTGTGTATAGTTAGGTCAGCTCAGTTCAGACAACCTGTGCAAGAATGAACCTAATGCCCAGAAGATCATGGGTTGCCCTCTCCCCTCTTTGGAAGAGCTTTATAGCTCCTCCTGCCTTAAGAAAGTTCAAAACATTATCCAAGATCCATCTTATCCTGGGAACCTTTTTTTTGAACTATTACCATCTGGCAGACGGTACAGGATAATAAAAACAAGGACAAATAGGCTGAAAAACAGCTTCTCTCCCAGGGCAGTAACTCTATTTGATTCTACTATATAGTGCAGTGTTGGTGCAGTGTCAGCTGGGTTTTTCAATTCAACATGTAGAATGTGAAGGATGTGTGTTTGTATTTATTTTCATGGTCATGATGTGCACTGAAGATGGTGTTTGATTTCGTTATACGAGGTGCAGTGACAATAAACTAAAGTAAACTAAACTAAAAAGGCACCCGAAGGCCAGACAAGGAATAATGGATGGAAACTGATCAAGGAGAGATTCAATCTGGAAATAAGGAGAAATTTTCTCTGACAGTGAGAACAACCAACCAGGGGGACAGAAGTTGCCTTCAGAAATTGTGAGAGCTTCATCACTGGAGTCTTTCAAGAAGAGACTGGACTGCCATTGTGAAGGATGTGTGCTTATGTTTATTTTCATGGTCATGATGTGCACTGAAGATGGTATTTGATTCCATTGTACGAGGTGCAATGACAATAAACTAAACTATGTGCTTTCTAGTCTCTGGCCACTAGGAGGCAGACTCTTAAAAGCAGTCAGCCAAGACCAGGAGTGAGAAATACTGTACAGGTGGTCCTTGACTTACGGCCACAATTGAGCCCAAAATTTCCTGTTGCTAAGCGGGACAGTTATTAACTGAGCTTCATCCAGTTTTATCATCTTTCCTGTCACAGTTGTTAAGTGAATCACAGTAGTTGTGAAATTAGTCACACTGTTGTTACTTAACGACCAATTGTGGTTGTTACATCAAGGGCCACTTGTGCAGCTTCCCCCCAGGTCACACAATCACAATTCAGACAGTTGACAAGAGACTCACACTTATGACAGTCGCAGGAACCCAGTGATGATGTCATTCCCTTTTGTGACCTCCTAACACGCAAAGTCCATGGGGAAACCAGATTCACTTAACAACCGTGTTAATTACCTTGCTTCCATCTTTCCGACTTCGGTAAAATGGAGACCCAGATTGTTGGGAGCATTATGCTGACACTGTAAACTGTTCCGAAAGTGCTGTAAAATACTATGGAGTAGTTAATGTGCAGTACTGCAGGCTGTTTCTGCTGCCTGCAATTTGGCAGATCGAATCTCACCAGGTTCAAGGTTGACTCAGCCTTCCATCCTTCCGAGGTGGGTAAAATGAGGACCCAGATTGTTGAGGGCAAATATGCTGACCTCGGTAAACCACCTAGAGAGGGCTGTAAAGCAGCGTCAAGCGGTATATAAGTCTTAAGTGCTATTTATAAGAACTGTCATTTTTTTTAAACATAAAATTGCTGTGCTCTGGAGGACTCAACCCTCTTCTTTTTCTTTCCCACCAGATGACCGTTCCAAGACCGGCCCAGTAGTAAGTAAACCGGTATCCTTGGAGACTAGTAAATCGGCTTCCCCATCTCCCCCTCCGCCCCTGACTGAGGTGGAGCCTGTGCAGCCGGCCACTGTGACGCTGGTGCGCCCAGAGAGCCCAGTTGCTGTGGACACTAGAGAGGAGCTGCTGGAGGTCCCTGAAGACATCCTCGAGCCCGTTAGCACCACCACTACAGTGCCAGGGGGGCTTGTGCCCCCTCCGGAGTCCTTCGTTTTGGACACAGAACCTCAGGAAGAGGTCGCTGCTAGCCCTGTTTTGGAGATTCCTTCCCAGCCACCCCCAGAAACACAGGTGGAGGAAGAGGTGGTAGCGGAAGAGACAGTGGTGACCCAACAGGAGGCTTTTCAACCCGAGGAGCCTCCCTTAGCGCTGCCGTGCGCCCCTCCCGATCCTTCTCCGCCGCTGGAGGAAGTGGCGGCTGAAGCGGGAGAGGCCATTGAGTCAAATGGGGTCTTAGAGGAGGAGCCGCTGGAGGCGATGCCCGAGGTGCCCCCGTGCGAGCCAGAACCGGCCATAGAATCCCCCATTGCTCAGCCGGAAGAGCAGGCAATACCTGCAGGACTTGAGACCCCAGAGAAGCAAGAGGCCGAAGAGCCAGAGGAAGAGCCTGAGTCGGATATCAGCCCCATCTCTGAACCCGAAGAGGTCAAGCCCGAGGAGGTGATTATCCCAGTGGCCGCGCCTGCTGTAGAAGAGGAGACGGAGCCAGAGGAGGAAGTGGAGGAGGCAGTCGAGGTCCCGGAGCAAAGTGCGGAACCAGTGGTTGCGCCCTTGGAGATCACGGAGACCACAGAAGGGACGACGCAAGGTGAGTTATCCACCGTACATTTTCCACCCAGCGGGATGCGATCTGAGTCTTTAAGAAGTCTGTGATTTGCAGAAGGAGGGATCCTTGGTGCTCTCTGAGCTTGGCTGTTTTTCTGCAGAAATCTCATTAACCGAACTAGGTAATATCATCAGTGCAAGTAAGGAGTGGGGTTTGTTCTCAGTTTATAAGACAGTAGCTTGTCCTGCTGGTATTGGTAGTTTTTTTCTCCTTATTACCGTGTTTCCCTGAAAATAAGACCCTGTCTTTTTTTTTTTTTTGGCCACCAAAAAAGGCACCAGGTCTTATTTTCAGGGGATTTCATCCACTGACTAACCTCACTTACACGTGTCGTCCCTTGCCTTCTTTTCACTGTCAGTGGCCTTCAGGAATAATTTCTATGGCTGGCAAGGCTTTCCTGAAGGTCTCTGCAGTCAATAACAGCTCTGGATCGATCCAGAGCTTCTTTGTTATCAGCTACAGAGGCTTTCAGGAAAGCCTTGCTGGCTGCAGAAGAATTGGGGCGGCAAGTCAGGTGTCGGGGTGTACGAGGCCTGGCTACAGCTGTCCAAAGGTGGTTGGGCAGTTCCAACCCCCCAGCTTAATTTTTACCCGTGCACTCTGGAGTGGGCGGGATCTTAATTTGGGTTTATTATGGGGAAGGGTTTATATTGAGTGCATAAGTAAAAACCAATCTAGGACTTACTTTCAGGGTAGGTTGTATTTTGGGGGGAAACAGGGTAGTTCCTTGATTAAGTTACTGTTTTTGCTTCTTCGTCTGGTGTTAATCCCTGCTTATCTAGGTGTTGATTGCTGGAGAAGTACAAACTACAAGGAGTAAAACTGCACCTCCACCAACACCAGCAGGGCAAGCTATTCTATATAAACCAAGAGCAAAGCCCACTCTTTACTAACACTGATGATGTTACCTAGTTTGGGTAATGAAATGTCTGCAAGAAAAAAGAAAAAAAAGCAAGCTCAGAGAGTACCAAAGACCCCTCATTTCAACCCAGAACTACAAATATTCTCCTTTATTGATATGCAGGAACCTTTGTTTTCCTTTTATAATACAGAGATAGAAACTTCAAGTCTTCCAGATTGGTTGAATTAAAGCACCCAGAGTCCATCTCCAGGCCTGGCTGACTGGGGCTACTGAGAGATGTGGTTCTGGACCATCTCAGGACATTTTCCACGAGCAATTCACAGAATCTGTTTGGGCCAAGTTGGGATCCTTCCCTGTGGCTTTAGCTTTGCATGGTCTTTGGCAGGATGCCATCTTAATGACTACTTTCAGTTGTACCAGAGGGTATTGGGTTGACTATTTCTGCTTTCCACCCTGGTCTGCCATATGTGGGTGATATTTGTGGGTCTCTCTGAGCTTAGTTGGTAGCTCCTGAATTGGTTTCCTATGTTGGCACTATCAACTCAGTAAGCAACAGCTAATCAAGGAATCGCCAAGAACACTCCCACAAACACTGACAGAGGAAGCCCTTTCTATATAAACAGAGAACAAACCCCACTTCTTTCTAGAACTGATAGTGTTACATAGTTGGGTAAGAAAAAAAGCATCCAAACTGAGAGAGCACCAAGGACCTCACAGTTTAACCCTGAGTTAACAAATATTCTTGATTCTGGGTGGTATTTCCTGTACACCAAGGAATTTATTGTCTTCAGAGCGTTTAGGCATTGCTGCCTTGGTCCTTTTCAGTCTTATAAAAGGTTCAAGGGCTGCTGTCCCCAAATATCCTGAGTAGATGCGACAGATGCCACAGCTTCTTCCTGGGATGCATCTCTGCCACGAGTTACGCTTCTTTTTCTACCCCTGGAAAATGGCTTCAGAGCAGGACTTCGCACTAACTTCTTGTTTGTTGCCTGGGGTGCCTTTCCCCGTTAATCTGGACTTATCCGTAGCTCACGTGTCTCTCCCTTCTTCTGTATAATTCCCTAGTAGCCGTATCGGTGCCAAAGAGGAAGCGAAAGATGAAGGATCTGAACAAGAAGGAAGCCGTAGGAGATTTGTTGGATGCGTTCAAAGAGGTGAGTAGCCCGCACGTTACCAGTGGGGAATTAATTAATGATTAATGCAATGATTAATGCAAAATAAAGGGATGTGGTGGCTCAGTGGCTAAGACGCCGAGCTTGTCGATCACAAAGGTCGGCAGTTCGGCGGTTCGAATCCCTAGCACCAAGTAATGGAGTGAGCTCCCGTTCCTTGTCCCAGCTTCTGCCAACCTAGCAGTTCGAAAGCCATGTTAAAAAATGCAAGTAGAAAAATAGGGACCATTTTGGTGGGAAGGGAACAGGGTTCCGTGCGCCTTCGGTGTTTAGTCATGCCAGCCACATGACCATGGAGAGGTCTTCAGACAGCGCTGGCTCTTCAGCTTTGTAACGGAGATGAGCACCGCCCTCTAGCGCCGGAAACGACTAGCACGTATGCGCGAGGGGCACCTTTATCTTAATGCAATGTTTCTGAATCTTCGCAACTCTTCAGCTCCCAGAATTCCCCAGCTACCTTGTAACAGAGATGACATTTCCTTGCAAGGGGTAACATGGAATTTCCATGTGCCCGACTGCTGCTAAGGCACTTAAATTCATTCTGGTTTTTAAGCTTTGAGTGGGGTCAGATTAATGTGCCCATCACCACCCCTTGCTACCCAGTGATTTAGATTATCTGACTACCCCATCACAGGTCTGCACCATAGCACTGGCTTCAGATTTTAGCCTTCTGAGAAGTTCGCTTTTCATGATAAAACCTCAGATATCAAAAGATGCCCAAGGATCAGAATTCTGTAGGGATCTGAGGAAGGGAGTTCAGTGCCACGTTTATCTCTTTTTGTTCCTCTTCGCTGTTTTCCATTGTACCATCGTTAAATATTTGTGCCATTCTTGGGTGGGGGCAGGGTGGGCTTATGAATGTGGGGACTTTTATATACAAACATACATAGCTGTTGCTTTTAGAAACCTCTGCATAAGCTGAGGCCACTATTTCCTAGGCCCATCAGTTTCGCTCTACTTACAAGGAATCCTCCTCATCTTCTAAGCATCCTGCAGGTTCAACTAATTGGATCTTGGATACGTTCGTTGGGATGGAAACTTAGGTCCACAACTGAGCTCAAAATTTCTGTTGCTAAGTGAGGCAGTTCATTGAGTTTTGCCCCATTTTACAGTGTTTCCTGCCACAGTTGTTAAGGGAAGAAGGATTGGCAAGACCAGGAATTTTTTATTTATTTATATATATTATGTCTGTGTGATGATCCGGGGCTTGACCCAAAAATAACACCGTCACAAAAGTAGAATAAATTCCCTTTAATGCCTCCAACTTGGGCCCCAACGTCCAATTATCCTCGGCTTGATATCAAATTCTTCCAGAAACAGTCTACAAAGAGAGTAAATGCAGTCCGAACCAAAAGTAAAGATAATTAGAAATAAAAAAAAAAAACCCAACACAAACCACACTGGAGTCATTAACACGTCAGGCCAGGATGATAAATTGCAGACTTCCACAAGATAACGCAGCAACCACAGTTGGGAAGACGCCAAAACCCAAATAAGCCTCGACCAAGATAATGCACACTTTGCTTCCAACAAAGAGCTATATAAAATGCCCCACTTATATCCTGTCCTCCCAGTTGCAACTAATGAAAGAGATCAGGGCCTTTTCCTCTCCCATAAGACACATTGCTCCCTTCTCCGTTCCTCCTTGCATGCCCTAGGATGAAGAGGGGGTGGCCCTGGGTCTTCCCCTGAATGCCCAGCTGGACTGTGCTCGTCCCCCATTTCTTCCACAGCCACCAGAGCCAACTCCCACTCCCAGTCAGCTCCTCAATCTCCCCCTCAGAATCAGATTCCAACAAGGGCATGACAGTCTGTCTGTCTGTTTATCTATAATTATTTATCTATCAACTATATATCTCTATATATCTGTGTATCTTCTACCTATAATTATCTATCAATAGGTAGATGATAGAGATGTAAATTATAGCTAGCTAGCTAGCTATCACTATCTATTCATCCATCCATCCATCACAGTGCTTTTGTAGCCATGAGCTGCATGTGAACCTTGTGGGCTTCGGTTGTTATTTTGGTGCTGGTGAAGAAAGCACCCATTTTTTTTTTGAGCTTGGGGGGTGCAGGATGAACACACCACCTCCTGCTGTGAGAGGCGTTTGGTACTACCTAGTTCTGTCCTTCATAGGATCTCTTTGGCTTCGCCTCTTAGGTCAGTGAGGGGGCCTCTGAGACGGAGAACAACCCCCCAGCGCCAGCCCCAGAGCCTGAGGAACCTGTCCCAGCTCGTTCCCAGGAGGAACCTGAGGAGACCTGGGAGCAGAAGGAGGATAAGCTGGATCCCGAGAAGGTCAAGCAAGCGGATCAAAAGTACCGCTACAAGGAAGGTGAGCCAGGTCTGAGCAGCCCTTACAATTTGGGAAAAGCGGGGTTGGGGTGGAGGAACGTCCCATTGAGCTTTCTGTGATGACCTCCTTTTTGAGCCATCGTGTCTGGGCCACTGATAACGCTGATGGAACTGAGGATCTGAGCAGGCTCATTCCCCAAGGAGCGCTTGGCTTTTCTTAGATTACTGCCATGCTTTCACGGGACTTTTTTTTTGCCATGACAGACCTGTGTGTACCCCTAAAAATAAGACCGGGTCTTCTATTAATTTTTGCTCCAAAAGACGCACTAACACCATGATGGCCAACCTATGGCACGCATGCCAGAAGTGGCACACAGTTGCCCTCTCTGATGGCACCACAAGCCATCGCCCCAGTTCAGCTCTGATGCACATGTGCGTGTACCTCCAACTGGCCTTCAGGTCACATGCACGTGCCTGGGGTGCATTGCAGTTTGGGGGTTCGGGCACACGCACGTGCTTTGGGCACTTGGTCCAAAAAAGGTTAGCCATCACTGCACTAGGGTTTATTTTCCCATTAGGTCTTAATTTGGGAGAAATGTAAACAGCTGATATTCTTAAAAGGGCTTATTTTGGGGGTGGGGCTTATATATTGGGAGCATCCTGGAAAACCATGCTAGGGCTTATTTTCCGGTTGGGTCTTATTTTGGGGGAGGAAACATGGTAGCACATTTGAGTGTTAAAGCCAGTAAACAGCTAGATCATTATATCTCAACCTCAGCAACTTTTTAAGATCTGTGGACTCCAACTCCCAGAATGCCCCAGACAGCATTCTGGGAGTTGGAGTCCACACCTTTTAAAGTGCCCGTGGTTGAAAATCACTGGCTGTGCAAACAAGCGAAGCCCCATCAATGGGATGCAGACAGCACGCAAAACCACATGTCCCCCACTCCCGTTCCGCGGAAAAAAACTCTCCACAGAACCAGTCCCCGGGGCCCCAAAAGTTGGGGGCCCTCTGATCTAGTATATATGAACTGCTTGAAGGACGTTCCGTTTACAGCCCTGGGCTCTCTGTCTTCTTTTTCCTTAACAGAGCAGTGGAAGCCCTTGAACCCAGAAGAAAAGAAAAGATACGACCGGGAATTCCTGCTGGGGTTTCAGTTCATGTTCGCGAGCATGCAAAAGCCGGAAGGGTTGCCCCATATCAGCGACGTGGTCTTGGAAAAGGTCTGTCCCCTCCAATTTCTTTTCTTCAGATGTCCACCAAAACCCTCTCTCTTGCGTGAGACTCTTTTGCTAGAGTCTTCGAAGCAGAATCCAGCATGCAGGTCACCTCTGCTCCCCAAACCCGCCTCCCCAAACAAAATGACCACCACCACCAAAATGGTTGTTGACTTTTGGTCGTACTGTTTTTATTTCTACTGTTTTTTTGGTTTTTCCCCTCAGGGAAGGGTCAGATTGGTAGCAAGCAAGAAAGATCCAGGAGGCATATTGCTTCTGTTTCCGTTGTTATGGCAGTTGCACTTAGACTTATATACCGCTTCACAGTGCTTTACAGCTCTCTCCAAGCGTTTTACAGAATCAGCATTCTTGCCCCCAACAATTTAGGTCCTCATTTTATGAGGATGGAAGGCTGAGTCAACCTTGAGCCTGGTGAGATTCGAACTGCCAAATTGCAGGCAGCTGGCAGTCAGCAGAAGTAGCCTGCCGTACTGCACTCTAACCACTGCGCCACCGCGGCTCATGGAAGTTATGGAAATTTTATGTCCCAACTTCCAGGGTTCCCTCCCAAAACAATCCTTCAATCCATTGCTGACATTCGGTCGGTTTGTGCGTTAATCTGAGCCATAGAATCTGTGGATTCAGCAGTAGGATTGCCAGAGATTTTCCAGGCCCATTAAAGAGCCAATTTGGTCCAGTGGTAAAAACACCAGGGTAGAGCGAGAGATTGTGAGTTTTAGTCCTGTCTTAAGACATGAATGCCAGCTGGGTGACTTTGGGCCAATCACCAGGAGACTGGGGATTCTAGTCC